TACAGAAGTGACAGAAAAATATACACGACTCCAGGAGCTGCAGAAGATTAACTCTCTAATCCTACCATCATGTGGTTATCTTGTTATTAAACATAAAACAAAAAGGTCCTCATGTGTTCATTAACACCTCATTGTCCTTAGACAAATGAAATAGGCTAAGTATAACAAAACATCGGATAAATGACACTGATAGTGCACCAGAAAATTGTGGAACAAACTTACTTGGTCAAATCCGTACCAGAATTGCACAGTTTTGATCATAGGTAAAGACTGAAAAAGTGAAACTGGTATTTTTCACCTTATTCTATTCCTCTGTTGACTATAAACCAGTAAAATTTACATTTCTAAAAGCTTTGTATTTCAAGAGAGAAAGCTGTGAAATTACAGGGCTTCGCACATGAGATAAGTTACAAAAAAAAGAGAAACATCATGTTTGGTTTTTTAAATCAAAGACAGAAATGTATATTTTTAAATATCAAATCTGTTGAAACTGTATATAATTAGATTTACCACATAATAACATAAACTGTACATATCACCATCTCTATCCTCTGCAAACTAACGGGCTGTTCTGAAAGCTAGCCTCCTTCTCACTGTGCTTCACTGGGAGTCAAAATTGAGCTCAGAGTTCAAAGATTATCTAAGGGTTTTTCTTTGACAAATCAATATTGAAAAAAATACTTAAAATATTAATAATCCTGGCTAACAATGATAATAAGCTTATTATATGCGTGATGAATTTCAGCTGGTCTGAATTCAACAGGTGACAGGTATCCTCACAAAGAACTGTAATTTCATTAAAGTGGTCAATTCTGAGAAAGTACTTATCCGCTGTTGGCGAAACATTTAGTTCCCTACTAAATTATATAAAACCATTTTAAATTTTTTTTAAAGAACTTTGATGAGTAGGCTGTCCTCCACATTCACAAGGAATTGCTTCTAAAGAGAGCGAATCGCCAAGTTTGTATAATGACAGTGGAGAGTTGAAGGTGAAAGGACCCAAGAAGTCCCCTATTTTTCTTCAGTTGGCATCTGTTTCCTTTTCAATCTCCTTTCTTCTTATTTCCGTCAGATGAGAAGAAGGAGGGATAAGTTTAACCACTGGAGTGAGTTTAAGAGCTGGACTAGAAGAGACAAGTTAGACTAGTTAAACTACCTTGCTAGTCTTATTTCCTAACTGAACTCTGCCTGATACAGAAATTGGTATCAGGAGTAGGATCCCAAAAAAATAGACCTCGAAGGACTTTTGCATTGGTTTGGTTTGATCCATGCTTCAGTAGCATCGCCACTGATCAAATAAACGCTGGTTGCTGATTATAATGAAGTATTTATTAAGGAAGAGCCTTAAGAGACCAAAAGCTAGCTACATTTGAGTTTGGCAGAAATGATGAGTACTAAGACTGCACTGGAGCACTTACCAAAAGAAAATGACAAGCTTGGGTCTTTAAAGTTTCAATTCACATTTATGATCAGAGAACTAGACAATTTCTATGGCAGCCCTAATAAAAACTTTTATGTCTTATAGTCACAGAGCCCACTTTGCTAACATCAGATTTAACTGTGCCAGTTGGGAAATTACAATGTAAGTTGAATTCCACAGACTCACCATGTTTCATGCATGAATGTGAAAGCACTGAATGAGAAAGAGTGAGACCCTGAGACTTGGGGTATTTGTGTGGACTCCACTAAAGCTGAGCATCTTGAACCCCCAAACTACTCTGAACTCCCCTTGCCAGTGGAAATACATATCTTGCTCTCCTATGTCTGAAGAGATTAGCTTTCCCTGGTTTGAAGCACCTGTAATAACCTCACCATATCTCTCAAAGCGGTTTCCTTACAAGAGAATTCCTCTTCTTCTCAAGACCCAACTGGACCACTCCTTACTGCCACCTACAACAGGTTCGCTCACAGCATTCCCTGGGGAACAAGCACAAAGTCTGATCCACAAATAGCTTACACACAAAAATAACTAAAATTTTGCAACTTTGTATTGGTAGAAACCCAGGAAATCTGTGTGAGAACGGATTCTAAAAAATGTTAGACCAAGGAAAACAGAAGATAACACCAGATTGAGACCTTTTTTTTAATGAGTCACTTACCAGAGACAGGATTCCATGGTTAGCTTAAAGGAGCTCTGAGTTAACTTGGTGGCTGACTGAAACTTGGCCTCCATGACAGCCTACATTTAATGAGACTAGGAGGCCACAAGTTCCGTGGCACAACGTAGAAGCAGGGATCCAAAGGCTTAAGGAGATAGGAATGCTGGAGTGCGTTTATCACACGCAACTTGCACACACAGCCCCTCCACCACCACACCCCAAGAGGGCCCAGTGGATGTTCCCTTCACCAAGATTCTGGCTTCATAATTAGAGTGCCATTATATGGGCAAGAGGTTATTAGTCTGGTCCTTTAACACACTGCCAGTCATAAAATTCGCCATGCTGCTACACAATAAGAAACCCTCCATTTTCTCTCCCTAGCTCCCTTTTTGTTTCCTTCATGGTACTTACTACGAAATGCAACTACTTAATTTATTGGTGTGGTTTTTTGTTTTGTTTGTTTTTGTTCTTTGTTTCTTCTCTGTTTCCTCCACTGGCATATAAATTCGGTGAGGGAGAGGGCTGCATCTACCTCGCTCACCACTGTATGTTGACTGCCTGGCACAGTACCTGGTACACATGCACTCAATAAAGACGTGCTGAATGTATAAACAGTTACTTTATTTTCATCAACATGAAATTCTGGTCCTTTCTTGCCCTGGAATTGATAGGTTCATGAAAACATTATCCTCCTTAAGAGATGATTTACATCTGAGTTGAAAACTTGTCCAAACTTAAAAATCTCTGTGTATTTCTTCAGCTTAGAATGGACGACCTGGTCTGCTGATATCACCTCTTACATTAAATTTATATTATTCTCAGAAAAATATTTTTCAAAAGTTTTAACAAGGAAAAAACACTTCCCTCACAATAAAGGTCAATTCAATGCCTTCACCATCTGTTCCGCCATGAAAATGTTTGAACAGGATCCTCCTTTCTTACTCCAGAATTGCATTTCTGCCTACAGTCACATGTCACTTTATATCATAAGTTAATCAAATTTTCAAATATCATTAAAGTATATCTTCTGACTCGTTAAGCAATTTTTGTTCAGGCTGGAGCACTTGCTGAGTGTCATGAGGTAACTTTTCTTGTTTCTGTATTGAGCAGATGGTAGTTTCATTCATATCACAGCATTTCAAAATACAATGTTCCATTTAATCAAAAGCTTCTATTTTCTGCATATGAACCTTTACTTCTGGCAACTAGTGGATGCCTTCATTAACAGCTAATTTTACACACAGACACACATACACGCACGCACGCATGCACACGCATACACCACATTTTTATCAGCATAAGAGTTATTATACACACGACTACAAGTAACTAAGAAAGAAATGATATTAAGATCCAGGCAGTATGCTAAGTTCACCTACTATCTAAGTAACTACACTTCAGGCTCATTAGTGTCACAGCTTAATTCAAATTCACACCTTAGCGAAATTGCAAAATACTGTGTCTCAGACCTTCAGGGTTGCATTCACATAGTTGAAACCTTGAAAGTTAAAATCCTTAAATGCCAAAGATTTGTTGTATATCGATATGCTTACCTTTGTAAAGATCTGTGCTCTTGGCAGGGTTATAAAGATTTAACACACTAATATTAGGAATCTATAAAGATCTCTTTTTTGCCTAAAAATAAAGTGCATCTATATGTAATCCGTCCAGTAGGACCAGCTATGATCTGGAAAAGATTATAACAAAAATATATACCTCACAAGGATGTCTGAAGGGTCAAGGAGATAATACGTATGAGGGAATAAATAAAGCACTACATAAGTGTTAGTAGTACATGGTAATGTAAATAATAAAATGCAGTACATTGTAACCTTAAACTTACATAATTTTATGTCAATCATATCTCAATAAAGCTGGTAAAAATAATAATAAAAAACAGTAGAAATCGTCTCTCATCTGAATTAGGGCAGTTTGTTGGTTGGCTACTTAGAGAAGTCAGTTAAAGCAAGGAATCCTAGAAAATGATAAACACACAGTGTAACCATCTATTTTAATTTAAACTATGTATAATTCATTTACCAACCCCCTGTGTACAGCTAAGGCCTTTAGTTTGAGTTCAGACATGCTGACTGGAATTCCTATCTTTCTTGCATAAACCACATCCAGAACACATCATTTATGATTGCAGTTCCAGTTCTTTTAAAATGCAGCAAAGACTTCAACACATATGAAACAATCAGAGAGCAATTTTATTCTTACTTTTAATAATTTTTTTCCAATATATTACACCTGTCTTGTTCCCTTCTGAACCTGACAGCCAATTTCCAAAAGAACTCGCTTTTATCACTTTTTCAGAGCATTCCACTTCGTTTTTATAGAAACAATTCTTTTTACACTAATATTGCATCGGTTTACAGATTATTCAATAGCAAATGCACCCAGCATAAGTGAGTTTGAGAACAAACACAATTGACTCTTAATAGTATACTTTTTCAACTGTTATCTAGATGGATTTTGTATTTGTTATATTCTAACCTGTAATTTGTATAAATTTACCATCTGTTTTCATTAAAAAAACGTTCGGAATGCCACTTTGGTGTGTCCTGATTCAATTAATAGTAACTTTATTAAACTTCTAATAAAAAAAAATACACACACAAGATTTAAATAGACAAAAAATGTTCTAAGTAGAACATGATAAAATAATTGTTGACTCCTGACAATAGAAACTAAATGAGTCAGTAAAAGATATTGTAAGCAAATTACAAAAGCCCCATATTAATTTGAAAAAATTAATGATCCATCTTTAAAACATCCCGTTAACGCTTTCTGAACTATAAATATGTCAGTGCTAGATATCTGCATGAAAACATTAAACTTAGATTAGTCGTGTTCCTTTTGTAATCGTGAGGGGAGGGGAGGTTTGGTGTGAGAACTTACTTATTTCACTGGAAACCTGGTTCAGTTTATCCTGTGACCTGCTGATAAGGACAATCTTCATGCCACGCTTTGCTAACTGAAACAGTAAGAGACACCAGACACTTGAATCACACCTGTGCACTTCATTTGAAAACAGAAATTAGATATATACTCATTTGAAGAAAACCTCACCATATGATAATTCAAATTAAAAAAAAAACAAAAAAAAAAACCCAAGTGTAATGAATGGGCAATCCAAAATGAAGACCTTACAAAAGGATTCCCCAAAGGGTTATCTTTCTAAATCAAGCTAGTATACAAGTGTCAAAGGGTTTTAGGAGAAGAAAGACCATTACTTTTCATTTTGTACCAATCTACACTGTTTGAGTTTTTAAAATCATAATTATCTATTACTTCTGTAATTTAAAAACTGGCTTTAAAAGTGTATGTTCAGACTGCATACATGAAGACCAGAGGGCTAGCAAAGAAAACTATAGTTAAAATGTTAGGAACTCCCAAAACAGAATAAATTTAAAATTTTTTATTTAAGCATTATACTTTAGGAACAACAAAGACAAACTAATATAGTTAATTAGATAAATTAATAAAGAATTTCCTGAGGAGCGCCTTCTATGCACTTATCTAGCACTGCGTAAGTGTTGCATAGAATGTTTAAGATTTACAGGAATTTGGTTTCTACTCCAGAGACATATAAATATAGAGGCAGAGGAAAAAAACACTGATATAAACGAAACATTTTCGTGAACTATTTCAGATAGTATATAAATGAGCAATAAATTAGCTACTATGAACTATAAGTGATTTAGTAAACTAATATTCCAGTCTTAAAGTCAATTTTTATTAAGTAGTGAGTGATACTGCAAATGAGAAAATATTGGACATTTTTCAAACAAAAAGAACAAAGGTTGGTAATAATGTGCTAAATTAATCTGCTGTAAAACCACTAAATAACCCATGAATCCACGCTGATCATTTTTTTTTAATTAACATGAAGGAACAATAAGTAAAAGCTCTTATTTATAGAAAAACAGCATCTAATAAATATAGAAGGAAAGATATCATTAGAAAATCACCATTTTTAAACCACCACGGTAATAACTTATTTTTAAGGCTAAGATTGTCAATGAATGTTAAAACCACTGCGTGAAAAATTATTGGGAAATAGGATATTCATATAGTCTCAAAGTATCATCTCACATATTCCTTATTAATTACTCAGAGGTAAGGTACCTTTATAATGCAGAATTATGGGGAGTAGCATTTTAATAAATGATTTATCTAAACATAATCAATAATGGTACAAGCGGACTTCTTGTGCCTCCTGGTAAGATACAGTCAGAAGGATACAATAACATCTGTGTAGCATTCCTAATTTAAAAAAAAAAATGTTTAACCTGAATCTAATCATGAGGAAATAATCAGACAAATCCACAGTGAGAAATCTTTTACAAAACAGCTGGCCTAGAGTTTTCAAAAATGTCACTGTTATAAAAGAAAAAAAAATGTCTAGGGAACTCTTCCAGTCAGACATGACAACTAAACTGGATCTTGGAACAACAAATAAAGATCTATAAGGAGGTTATTGGTACAATTGGGCAACTTGCATAAGGGCTGTATGTTGTAAATAGTATTGAATCGACTACTGCATTGTGGTTATAAGGGCAAATGTTCTAATTTTTAGAAGATTCATGCTAAAATATTTAGGGGTGAATTGTTATGATGTCTGTAACTCACAAATGATCCAGCCAAATTATAATTATAATAATAAAGAAAGTAAAACGTGGCAACATGTTAACAATTAGTGAATCCCAGTAAAGGATATAGGGGGTATTCATTATATTCTTCTTGAAACTTTTCTGTAGTCTTGATATTCAAAATAAATTTAAATTTAATAAAAATTTAAAAATTAAAAAAACCTTTGGGAATGACAAATGAGAGATTCGGAGGGTCTGCCAGGATCTTCATCACCATGGGGCAGTGTCACAGGCTATACAGTTGCCTTTGCAGAAGTGGAAGACAAGGAAACTTGCCTCAAGAGTACTGCCAAGTGCCTGCTTTGTATGATGGTTTTTATTTACTTATTATTATTTTTTAATTCCTAAATTTTATTAGGCTTATGCTCGAGCACAAGGGAAGCAGCACAGAGGAAAGGAAGTTCCTCCGAATTGATTCTGATGATGGTTTTTAAACTGTTACGGTTTCCTATCCCCTTTAATTACATTACAGAGAACTTGAATCCTTTGCCTGTATCTGTCAATCTCTTTCTGTCAATCAGTCCTTCTTGTGTAGATACCATGGACTAGCCTGAAAATGTAACCACTATATAATAACATATCCACCCTTTGGAAAACAGTTTTCAAAATAATTAACTTTAAAAACCAAGAACTGTCCATATTTACACAATATAAAATAAAATTACACTAAATTTTTCACAATTCCAACTTACCAGGAAAGTTTTATACTCATTTTGTTCTTGTATTTTTAATATCGAAAAGAAAGGTCTTGAAAATTACCTACCTCTTTTGCATATGATTTTCCAATTCCATCAGTACTCCCTGTGACAACTGAGAAAAGAAAAAAAAAAGTAACAGTTTAGTTTAAGAAATACAATGAAGAACTGATCATACACAGTTAGGATCCACCAATTATACACAAGAGGACTTGTGTGATACTTTGATGTAAAAGATGTAGCAATATAGGTTCAAATTTAGGACTGAAAATATACTATAATGGCTAAGACTTAAAAAGACTACAAAACCAAGTGCTGAAGCAACTGGAACTTTCATACACTGCTGGTGGCACTGTGTTTCCAAAATGCTATCATTCTGGAAAAACTATTTGGCATTATGTTCAGAATTAAACATATGCCTACCCTACGACCTAGCAATTCCCAAGAGGTATGAATGCATCACATCTACCAAAAGAATGTTCACGATAGCTTTATTTATGCGTAGTAGATAAACATGTCCAGATATTAAATTGCAGGAGAATTAGTACGTAAATTGAAGTATAATCATACAATGGAATACTAAACAAATCAAAAAAGAACAAACTAATAATATCTGTAAAATATGGACAAATATCCCAAATATTATGTTGAATGAAAAAAACCTGACATAAAAGTGCACAACTGTTATGATTCCATTTATGAAGGTTTAAAAAAAGACGAAACTAATCTATAATGACAGAACTCAGAATGCTGGTTACCTCTGGGTCCTAAGGAGGTAGATGACAGGGGAGGGACAGTAAGGGAAGTTCTGAGGTAAAGGAAATATTCTATATTGTGTGCATATGTTTGCGTAAAAATTTATTGAGCTGTATACTTAAGTATACACTGTATCCGTTATACCTCAATAAACTAATTTTTTAAATTATGCATAGTAAAAAATTGAATAAGATCGATTTCTTCAATGGTAAAGCATATTTCTCATTCAATTGCACATTTCTGTAACTTTTCTTTTCCTGAGTATTTTGGAGACATAGGGACCCAAATTTTACACTATATTCCTGCTACTGATTCACTAATGTTTCCTACATAAAGGATAAATATTTTCTAATGTTTCCAATTCTCTCATTTTCCTTCTATTTATGATAAATTTTTCTGCTCTCTCCAAAAAAACACGGGCAGTAGAAACATCTGAAAATTATAATGGGTCAGTCTACACCATAGCATCTTATCTCTGAAATGCTGACATCATGTTTGTTACAAATTCAGAGCATGGCTGTCTGTTCCAAAAGGTTAGGGATACTCCCCAAACTTCTCTGACTATTAGTTTTTCCAAATCATTTACAGATTATGAAAAATGAGTTATGGTGTAAAGAAGGATTTTCTTGCATTTGTCCTAAAACCACTTCTTTCAAATTACACAAAATGGCTCCACTTTTACTATTCAGAAATATGTCGAACACATTCATATTCTTCCTAGCCATGTCATTCAAAATCTCATGGATTTTCATCACGTTCCAGCTCGGCCTTCATCTTTACAGTTTCAAAAAACTTTTTAGAATGAAACAAAATCAAATATACCCAAAATTAAAGAGAACAGTGTAACAAACTCCCATGTACCCCTTTCCCAGCTTCACCCATCATGAACTTGAGCGTAACCTGGCTTCATAGATACCCCCCACCAGTTTCCTCCTACCTCAGATTATTTTGAAATGAATCCCAAACATCATTTCATTCTAAAGTATTTCAGTATGTATGTTATTAAAAATAACAATACTATTAACACATTCCTAAAATGTAAATAATAATTCCTTGACATCCAATATCTCACTAGTATAGACATTTCCCAAAATGTCTCAAAAAACTTCTAATAATTTGGTCAAATCAGGATTCGGTAAGTTCCATACTTAAAATTGGTTAATGTCTATTAAATCTCTTTTAATCTCCAGGTTCTATCTATCAACCTACCTGTCTATCTATATCTATTTATTTAATCTCCATCTCTCTCTTCCCCTCTCCTTATTTGTTGAAGATAACGGGTCATATGTTTATATTTTCCCAGCCTGATTTGTTGATTGCATTCTCATGATGTCATTTAACATGTTCTTCTGTCCCCTGGTGGTTGGCTATAGATGCTTGATGAAATTTGGATTTGATTTCTGGTAAGAATGCTTTATAAGTAATATTGCATATCTGCACTGGTAGCATACTTCTGGTTATCTTTCTTTCTGTTTTATTAGCTGCCACTGATGATACAGTACTTCATTAGAGGTTGCAAAATGGTGATCTTTAAATTCTATCATTTCATCTTCATTTATTAGTTAGAATATTTCCATAGAGAAACGACTCCTTCTTAGTTATTTGGTTACAATGATATAGTTTGCATAGGAGCACAAGATAAATGTTTGGTTTTTTCCTCCTTTATTTACCAGTTTTCAAAATAAACTGATTCTTCCAAAGGTAACCCATGTGTTTTTATTGTTGTTTATAAGAAACATTAACTTATGGATTTAACCATTTGTGGTAGAACCCACCTATATAATAGTAAGCATGACTTGAAAGCTCATCCAATCTTGTGATCAATTCAACTGCACATTTCTGTAACTGTTCATTTCCTGAGTATTTTGGAGGCATGGGGACCCCAAATTTTACACTACATTTCTGCTACTGATTCACTAATGTTTCACACAGAAAGAATAAATATTTTCTAATGTTTCCAATTCTCTCCTTCTCCTTCTATTTGCGATACATTTTTCTGTTCTCTCCAAGCTCCCCAGAACCTCATATCCTCTCCTTCACAGCCTTGTTCGAACTCCACTGTTCCAGATCACTTCAAACAAAAGGAACCTTCTCTCCCCTGAACTCCACAGCTCTTCACAAGAATTCTTCCTCTGGCACTTACCACTCTCTGCCCTGAATTGTATTTCCTTATGTGTATACGCCTTAATTCTTCTATCAGGTTCCAGGCTTCTTGCTATGTGACATGCATGAGGTAGGTACTCAGCAGACATTTGCTGAAAGCATGAATGACACTCACCATTTAGTTGGTCTTACAAACTGCAAAACCAACAACTTAAGACTTTCCCTGAAAACCTGGTTTCTCAAAGTTCTTCCCTTTTTAAGGATAGTACTTTACACTCAACAAATCTGCTGTTCATTTATCTACTTACAGAGCCTTTTGTACCTAGATTACTTTGTTTATTCTCTACATCTGTGGAACAAGAAAATCCTGTATATGATAGCAGTAATGAATTCATGGCAATATCAGGTTTCTCAGATTACAGGCTTAAAAATCTCTTAAGAAAATAAGAAGTAAACTACAATAAAGTCATTCTATACAGCATACCTAGAGTTTGGGGATAGAATATACACATTTCAAAAAAATACTGATGACTCTGGTATATGTGTGTGTGTATATGTGAGTTCGCGCACACCCACGTGTGTTCTCTCTCACATGGTGAACCATTTTGGCTTAACAAAGCATGCCAAATTATCAAAGTAGTGACAGTTCACTGTTCTTGTCATTAAGATTTGCTTCTTTAAGAACACTGAGTGTTATCAGATCCCATTTTGCTATGGAGTTAAGTAGATAAGTTAAGGTAGTTTTCAACAATACACAGAAAAAAGCTACAGATAGCATGCATAACCCAATAGCCTCAGGTACTACCCACACTCTAAGGGTTGTGGGAGAACATATGATGGCCAGGGACAGAAGTGAGGTAGAAGAAAGAAGGGGAGGGGAAGAGGAAATAAAAACGGCTTATGTCTTCATATATAAATACAACACTAGATCCCAAATTTGCAAGCCTTTGAGAAGATGGAAACTGACAACTATAAAGAATATCCCAACTTGGCACCCAGAAGTGTCTAGCTTGTTACAGATTATATAAAATACTGGCGTCTGACCAGCACTGGGCTTCCAGATTTTATACAGTCAACAAAAATACTTTAGTTTGTGTAGGTTAAAAATATTCTACCTCTTTTTGTCCTCAACTTGCTAGGAACAGATATTTTTAGTAAATACCCAATCAACCTTATCAAAATCAAACATCAAAAATAGACTAGAGGAACACTGGAAGCAAACATGCTATTTTTAGCTCTTCTGTCTATTCCTTGCCACTACCCACCAAATTCTGACTGCAGAGCCCATGCATAAGAGCTTAGTTATTCCAGGCAGGTTTCTTCTGTGGCCCCTTTTTTCCCCCTGAACACCTGAATGCAGAAAACACTCGATTGATTAAAGATTAATACTGCTGCAAACCATGACAACTGCCTTTCCTCTGAGTGCTTTTGGGGGGGGGGGCGCGGCCGGGAGGGCAGAGAGAATAGAAAATGACAGAGAGCTTGCATCAGTATTCCTCTTGGGGATCTATTACATGGGAAGAAAATTGCTATTTCAATTCCCTTTTGTTGCTAAAAATAGCAGTCTCAATTGATTCAAGCGAACAGGGAACAGGCTTAGCGGTGCTGAATTTAGAAACCACTGAAGTCCCAAAGAGCGAATGCTAACGTAGTCTAACACATGCCAGCTCATATTTAACAAAGAACAAAGAGAAGAATGCAGGCCGCAAGTTAATAAAACAGCAGCAACTTCTCGCATTTTTATTAGAGAAGCAGTGAAAGTGATGCAAAATAAAGGTAACTATAATTTATTCTCCTAATCGTGTTTTAATAAAAAGCAATTTTACAGAAAAAAAATCAGATTATGCATAAACTCAGATATTGTGGGCATATCTTACAACCTCATAGTTTGGAAAAGTACACATGCTTTTGTCCGCACAGTACATTACTATGGAAAGAAGATGCCCAGCTTACAAATGTCTGTCCCACAAGAGGCCCCTTCTCTCACTCAGTCTTCTCAGGTTCCCAAGTGATCAGCCCTCTCAGCCTTCCCTCCTCTTCTCTTGACTTAATCAAACACTGCAGACAGTTATAGCATGCCACTTTAAAAACTAACAAAGAGAAGAAAAAAATCGAAAACGACCTATAGGTTCAGAACAGAGAAAAAGAAGAAACTGTGAAAAGCAGGATCAAGTAAAGACAGGTACCTAATCCCCAGGGCCCACCTGCAGGCAAGGAGGTGTAATGCCTTCTGGTGGCACCAAAATCCTAAAATAC